ATTTGAAAATATATATTTTTTGCTTGTTATTGTCTTTGTTTGTGTGTCAGTGGTGTACATCATTAATCTAGCAGGTTTGAGTATGTTTGAAAGGAACTTTAAAATTTGTGGAGAAATGGTAATGCTGTTTTAATGTGTATATATGTTTATTTCATGTGTACAGAAGACAAGTTGAATTGGTCCTGTGAATGGGATTTCTTCAGACAGAATATTTATTCAAACGGATGTTTACATTTTTTTTTCCAAATGGGGAAATCTCATTTATCGGTGTCTTCTTCAAGGAAAACAGTCACAATTTTAAATGGCTTGTTTTCGGAGAAAGTCACATGTGACTGACTAACTGTCTAATCTTAGTAAATGTCTAAAAGCTGTTTGAAAATTATATCTGACTGGCATATAAAAATGATAAAAAAGCCGCTGTTGTGTATCATTAGTATTGGTATAACAATAGGTCAACGTTCAACTGCCCAAAACAAAAATGACCCATATAAAACATGGATATATGTGCTAATGCTCATTAAAATGTCTAGTTTATCATCTGGGGGATTTATTCAGGTAGATTTATCTATAGTAAGTTACTAGGCCTCCATATTATCTGTTTGGTCACAGTCTCAATGCACAGCTTCAGATGGGTGGTGGGTGAAGAGATTATGAAACTATTAACCTTTCTGAAAATCTGCCTTTTTAGACACATAAATACTGATGTGTTATGTGTGAAATATAGGTTCCTAATTTGAAAATTTAACAATTTAATAATGTAACAATTTGTAACTATGTTATGTTACGTTATGGTACATTATGAAGTGGAGATCAGAGCCATGGGCAGAGTTGCATCCTTTCTTTATCCTTTTAGTAAAATACTGCAAGGGTTAATTTGTTCTCAGAGCTTTGGTTGTAATTTTAATTGTGTATGATCATACATAGAACTGACTTGGTGAGAAGATTTATGTATAAATGTTTCCATGTTTTTATAAAGAAAAAGTCTTTCAAATTTTTTTATAAGATATGTCCTGAAAATGTAAATAAGATTTGTCGATTTGACACTAGATGTCTTCTTAGAATCTTTTTTTTTTTTATTCTTTAGTGATCCGATAACAACATTAAATACCCATGATAACACTAAATCCTGCTGTTCAATGAACTTGCATGATAAACTTTCAAACAGAAAAAAGGCTGATAACAAAGTACTTCCTTGGAATCACCCTTACTTTATATGCTTTAAATATTGCAATACTTTGCAAACTTATTTTGCCAAGCTAATCCATATGTAAGATCCAAATCATCCCATACTGACGCGTGTACCTCGAACATTAAGACCACGGTCACAGTAAATCCCACTAAACCCTACACTTATCTGCCTCTGATAAATCATAAAACTCCACTCCATACCTTCTGAACTTGGAGCGTTTGTACTATTTGAACTAAGAGCCATTCCTTTTTCATATTTATTTGACAATCGAGAGAAGCTGCCCAGTAAGCCATCGCACTATGCTAGTCTTCTTGCTCCTGATAGGAATAAAGTCGTCTGCCCTTTTATGTTCAACAAGATAAAAATTGTTTGCGATTGTCGATGGTGGGTTGTGACATCGTCAATCTGGAGATATGACATGCTTGTTTGATGTCCTACAGGGAGGCTCTGGTCGGCATGTTCTGCGAAATCCTCAAGTGGAGGCCTATATTCCTGTTTGATTCTGTAATTAACTGAAGATCTTGTGTGATTATTTCATTGATTTATTCATGTCGAGACAATCCTCTTCGCACTGCCTTTTGATGGCAGTATTAGCAACGGCACTGCATGAAGATCAGAAAGCGTCATGGCCGCCACACGAGCAGAAGACATCTTTGATTATGTCTCATTTCCTTGACAAGGTTTTTATCTTGTGACACCCAACTCACTCGAGTCTTTCATGCCATTGACTAACCGCTTTAAGTTTACTTGTGGGAATCACAGAGGGATTTATTGAAAATTGTCTCCTAGAAACTTAGATTATGGCTGTCTTAGAGAGCCACTTTCTGTTGCTTTTCATTTTCCCGCCTACTGAATCTGAGTCCAGTTTTTGACAGACAGCAATTTGCCAAGATTCCAACAATATGAGATTATCAATTTGTAATTATGGGGCAGCAATTCTTGTCCATCAGATGGATGACTTTTGCCCTTTACTCTAACAAGATGGAACATTTCCATACTATTTCCCTGCTGCTAATGCAGATTATTATACAGGTAGATAGATTGCTGTTGAATCATTCTGTGGGATGAAAGTAGTTTTGATTGTAATCGTAATGAACAGTGCATATTTATTCAACTTCCTCTGGAAGTAAAAGAAATTGGCTACTGATAAAATTGATCGAATACACGTTGAACCATCATTTCTTCATGACGAGAATCACAGACATGTTCAGTCAGGAAACTGGGTTCGAGGATGGAAAATTTGTAAATAAATTGGCTCCAAAACAGTAGATAAGATGATAATGAAACAAGATATTTTTATTAGTTACGTGGACAAATAATAAATAAAACAAGCAAAGAGAAAGTAAATTTTTAATGGATGTTAGAAATTCTTACTGATCGCTATAGTTGCAAATAACGAGGGCTCTTAGGTCATGTAGGTTGAGAATCAGTGGTTTCATTATCATGATCACCTAATTTATTGATAATTAGGGGCAGGCTGTTTTGTGATCGAGTTTACAAAGAATGATCGATATTCAAATGTCTGTTGTGTGTGAAAGGGAATCGGAGACTTTATGTGACATTTGCCGCATCTATTCAGTCTAAAACTTCATATATCGGAAGGAATTTATCTGACACAACCCTTCATTACATGATATGCTTGGATGGAGCTTAATTTTGTTTAAGGAGATTATAAGCAGATTGAATGTGTTTTAGTTTTATAAATATTATTTATTTGGGAAAAATACTTGGAATTTGTGTGTATTTGGCAAGCAGAATATCTTTTATTCCTGACACTTGATATTTTTATACCAAAACTCACAATAATAATCTCTTTATCTGATAATTTTCTTTTAAAATGTTGATAAAATATAGATATAATTCACACATATTCTCATGTACTAAAATGCTTTTGTAACTTTTAAAAGCCATTTGGGGGAAACTTTTTGTGTGTATATTACGAATGTAATGATATGTTGAGGTCACGATACAATACATATCACTGTAATATGGAGGCAGTACAATTTGTATTCTGATATAGTACTAACCTTTCATAAGTTCATGTTCTTAACCTTGAATGAAAACCCTGAATCATTTGTTTTTAAATTTCAGATAGCAAACTTGAAACATGGGATATTGTAGGGGAGAAAGAAACATATAAGCTACTGGGAACTATACACATTCTGCTATCTATGGCCAACTAGAATATACTAGAGAATCTGAATAAACTGGGCCCGTTCCTCAAAGCGATCGTAGCTCTAAGGTGATCGTAACTCCCATACTTCAACATAGACTTATGACTGTCGTAGCGCTACGATCGCTTTGAGGAACGGGGCCCTGGTTCTTAAGCAGCTTCTGTTGTGATGCACATGTTGTTTTGTCGGTATAACTTATAATGTAATGAATCATCAGGGCTCGATTTAAGACATGTTAACCTCCTTGCACCAGGTGCAACCTAAGATATAAACATAGTTGCACCAGCCAAATTCCAGTTGCACTGCTTTTATTGCAATGTGTAATGAAAGACGTGCTAAATTATTTAGATTTCTATTCAGAAGTTTACCCACTCAAAACTTGACTTGCACCTGGTGCAAGTTAGACTAATAACTAGGTTGCTCTTTGTAATATTGGGTTGCACCAGTGCTAGTAACAAGGCACTAAATCGAGCCCTGATCATGTATTGTGATACAGGAGTTACAAATGGTTGTATTGTACCGTGAGTCTTGTATTGCAAAACAATACTGTATTGCAATGTTGTTACTAGGGATGCCACTATACATCGATACATCAATGCATGGATAACTGTTTATAAGACGACACAATTATTGATACATTCAAAACTTTATCAATATTTAGTTTTGAAACTATCGGTTTAAACATATTTATGTATCGTTTACATTTTGCAATTGTATCATGGTTGTTGTTTTATGTTAAGAGAGTTATAAATGATTATTTTTCATGCACAAAGATGGAAAATTAGAACTTTTTAATCTCTGAGAATAAAAAATGTTGATCTTTTCATGGACAATTATAAATTATGAAATATTAATGTTCAAACTGTAACTAAATTTACGCAATAATGCTGTGAAAATAGGTATTGTGATATGTATCGATTCATGAAACTTATGTATCGTGACATCCGTAATTGTTACCCTACTAATATATACTCATGGAAACAAAAAAAGGAACAAACAGAAGTGCAAGTGTTCCTATACACTTTTCCGGGTTTCTTATCATGCTTTATATTGCACTGTGGGTGAAAATCTGGAAATAAGTAAAGGAGCACTTGTACTTTCATGTTTTCCCATTTTCATTTCCATGAGTGTATGTATAGTGCAACATTATTATGTTTGGTTACACATCGGAAAACCTCTATCCATGCAATAGTGTTTCTAGCAAGTAGACATGTTATCAATGCATGTATGTATGGCTGGCCTACTGACTGGCTAAGAAACCTGTCTCTATCAATTGTGTTGAGTGAGTGTTATATAAACTTCCAAAGAAGTTACAGTACACCTGGCTAGCTGTTCTCGAAACATTCGTAGTCTTATGAACTTCTTAAGCCCATTCTTAACACATTGGCTACGATCAAAGTTAAGAATTCTTAGGGCTACGAACGTTTCGAGAATAAGGGCCCTGGTTCTCCTATCAGGTTCATATGACAGTGTAATGAAATATTTGTTCTTTATACTCTTTTGAGTAGTAAAGAAAACTTTGAATATATCATCAGATATGCCTGTGTATGGACATGTTGATTATTATGTGAAATTGGGAACTAATCTATGGATATTTATTTTATGATACAAATGTAAAATTCATTTGTTTACTTCAGAGCAGCGGAAGCGAAGTGTTTTGGATGGCCAGACTCCATGTTGCCCTGTGTGTGGTATAACTCTGAGAGCCGGGGAAGTCGAGTCCCACTTAAACCTGGAACTTGACAAGCTTGAAAAACTCAGCAGGTAGGAAATTTATGGATTATATAATCGTTGGCAGGGTGGGCAAGTCACCTGAAGCCACACAAAAGTATTGTTTCTGGGTTTTTTGTTTGGCTAAGAATGACCCATCAACCAAACAATTTTTTTTTATTTTATTCTTTTCTTTTTCTCCTTAAACTTACTTGCATTATTCATCAACACACTGACCTGAATCATATGGATTGGTATTCTGGAGCAAAAACACTTGTTTCACATATGAAATTGTTTGTTTGCAGGTGTTCATGAAAACAAGTACAGTACCAATTGAAAGACCACAAAGGTCTTTTTATTCCGCTTGCCACAACACACGCATGTATGCACACACACTCTCACTCATGTGATGTGAGAGGCATCAAGTGCAATTTTGAATTTTGTTGCCACATGTAGAGTTGCATCCCTTAGGTGTGCCAGAATCCTATGATTCTGGTTATGACCACAAAGGTCTTAGAATTCCGCTCGCAACAACACACGCATGTATGCGCACACACTCTCACTCATGTGATGTGAGAGGCATCAAGTTGCCACATGTAGAGTTGCATCCCTTAGGTGTGCCAGAATCCTATGATCCTGGTTATGATCCTAGGTTTGTCAGTATCTTACCTCTGCTCCAGGGTTTCACCAAAGTGGTAAAAGTCTTAGATCTGTTGAGAATTTCCTCCCACATGGAACTGACACGGCTGACAACTGAAATGTGGCGTGTTATAAATGTTACTCAATCTCTCACAAACAGCCCAAACCCATGCCAATCGACGGCCAACACTTTGCTCCCACCCACAAACTTTTTTACCTTTTTTTTGTGACATGCTGTAAAACTAGTTTGTGAGAGTAATTGTAAATCCTAATTGTAAACATTAAATGTTTTGGCAGCAACCATGTCTGTTTCTTTACAAACAATAAACCTGCTATTTCTCATTAACACACTCACTCACTGAAGTATTGTTCGTAAATTTTCTAAAGCATGACAGTTATTTCATGACCAGACTGTTTCAACCATAAAATGCTACTGTCCCTAAAACTGGACGTTACCTCACATTTCAAATTCTTCCCATTACACTAAACGTCCAACGGCTTGACTGAAGCTAATAATGTGACTAAAACCTTGAATGTAATCCCGCCCGATCATGAATAACAAACAGTAAATGTATCAGAAGTAGACGCCATAATGTGAGTTAAAGTTCGCCGCCATCTGTAATACTCTATGTCCGACCATTACTGTTCACCAATATAGTTTTCATTGCCCAAGGAACAAGATAGCAACATGCAACAATATCAGAACCGAGTTGTAAGCCTGCTAGATTTTGTTTAATGGACAAAATCGTCTCCTCATCCCCTTGCCGTGAATTTTATGTCAACTTGGTTCTCGGAAATTTGTGTACACTAAATTTTACGATCAACTCAATTATGTTCGTATTAGCCTTACCCCCAGATGTGTAAGTTTTATGAAATGTAACGGTCTCCAATATATGTCGTCTATATTTCTTGCCCCGTGGCAGTTAGTGTTCGCAGAACAATTGAAGAGTCAATCAGAGGATTTACCTTTCTGATTTCCTACAATGATAGCGTATAATTTTATCAAATTGCAACAAATAAAAGCAGATTTATGGCTGTCAACGGGTCAGTCTGTTTGCAAAGGCGCCTCTGGAAAATATGATTAAGTCATGAACAGGGTTCCAATAGCTGACTAATACTGATTTAACGGTTTGACAAAGGGCGGGCATTGTGACGCGTGGCTTGATCGGGATTCTGTTCGGGAAGTTCGGTGATAAACAAGGGAGAAGCAGAGGAGTGGGCTTTATTATTAAATTTGCTTCACATTGTTATCACTGTTCGGCCATCTGCTCTCGCTTCAAATGCTCGGCAAATATTTCTCACTGAGAGAAGTGTCTGCGAGTTCTTACATTCATCATAATTGCAATCTTGAATATGGCAAAGCTAATTTGATATAACAGCTCTTGTCATTGCCCCCCAGTATTGTCGCTTAACAGCCCCTGTAGCTTGGTAACCGATCTTCAGTTAAGTCAGTCCGGCAGTTGTGTTCACGCTCTAAGAGTTTGATTAATACAAGATATTTTTATCCACATGTAATGTAGAAAAGTTATATTTCATCGTTTGTTGTCAACACGGGTGGAATTTATGTCTGTTTGAACATGCTTAGCGTTATTTGGAAAAGGTCCATTTCGAGATGAATTTGGATTCAATCGAAAGAGAAAATGTTTAATTTCTTAAGCTAACCAAATTTGTATTTCTTTTAGGGTGAATCATAAACTCTTGTTAAACTTTCACTAGCAAATAAACTAGTACCCTTAACTAGAAATGTAAAACTAGCAATAGAAGTTGCCAATAGTTATACTCTGTGCCTAACTGTGCATTAGTTAAATGATATTACAAATAGTTGAAAAGTGCATTTTTTCAGGGTATGAGTGTACGGTTTAATCACTGAAAGTAAAAATACCAGTGTTAGGGAAAATAGGGTTAAGACAAGTGCTTAATGAGTGTTATCATTGTTTAATGGTAAGGACAGTGAGTGTTTTTGGTTAAAAGGATTTTGCTTTAAATGATTGTAAAACTCTTTTTGTTTTCATTTTGACCTCAAAACTGTGCTAGTTTTATGTAAACATCCATGAAAAGCATTCGGGTATCTTAGTGGTTGCAGCTTTTGCTTTACATGTAATAGGTCACTGTTGTGTCCCATGTGGGGAGTTTCCCTTGTGAGTGAGTGAGTGAGTGAGTGAGTGAGTGAGTGAGTGTTAGGGTCCTTGAGGTCTGTTCCTAGGTATTTGAATCTAGAGACCCCTAGATTACTTACACTTACCACCAGTGTGCGAAATAGCTTCCAAAGTTTTCTAGCCAATCAGGCTAGCGATGCCTGAAAGTTACTAACCCACAACATAATTCACTAGCCCGAAATTTGAATGTAGACACAGGTTTCATTATTATGCTGCTAATATGATGAAAATTTTCATCAGGACATAATCTTACATGATTTAAAAGTGTATTATAACTCAACAACTCAGACACAATGATATATTTACAAAATGACCCCAAGAAAATTCACTAGTCAGTCGGGCCAGTGTCTGTGAGATTTACTGGCCTGACTGGATTTTTACTAGCCACGGGCCCCTTGACTTTATGTGTTTGTTGTTTAACGCCACACTGAGCATTATTCCTGCTATATGACAGCATTCTGTAAATAATCAAGTCTTGGACAACTCGGTGAGCATCTATCTACCCAACTAAGGATACAATAATATGCAGCAACCAAATCAACGAGCCTGACCATCCGATCCGTTAATCGCCTCGTACAACAAGCATGAATTGTTGATGATCAATTGTAACAGTCTCTGAATATATATAATTTTGATAGTAACAAACAAGCATGAATTGCTGATGATCAATTGTAACCTGAATCTTTACTGGTCAACTTGTACATGCTTGGTTTGAAGACTCATAGTCATATTTTGGGAAATCCTCTCATATCAAAAAAGAATTTATCATCTTGCAATAAAAATTCAACTGAATTGAAAATCGTCCATTTTCTATCTAAAGATGTTGTGTGCGCATTGTAACTGTTGTCCACCCATCCATCCAGAAGTTTTACATACTTTGAAACTTTGTAAAGAACATTCATAATTGTTTCATTAAATTTATTAAGAATGTTTTGCTTCATATTTCTTTAATTAGCGTACAAAAATAGAGATGTAATTTCAAAGGGTGTCTCGAAATTTCCAAACAGCTTCTTCAACCCGCAAACCAATGTGGTAGGAAATGGTGGTCCAGAAACCGATATTCTCACACCAGCACGTGGACTGAAAACCAGCCAATAAATGAGAGCATTGTTTGCCTTGATTCGTCAACACGTGAAGTTGAAATTTTGTTAATTCACAACTTTATTAAATCTGGCCCTTTTCTGAAGTCAGGTTCAGTAATCAGATTTATCCGTAGTGTCCACTTTGTGAGATTACACGCACTTTCCACTTTGTGGTCTCTCTGGATCCTACGAGCGCGCTTGACAGACACCGTGTGCAGGCAACTCCGCAAACCTAAGACAGACGCGAAATTGATCTGTGTTCTTAGTGATTATTACATGATTAAAGGTCCGATTAGAAACCTAATCAGTTTGCTAGTGGTGGCCTCATGTTAGCCTGGGCAGTGATTTGGGGACTTGGTTTGTCAGATGAGGCTATAACCCAATTTGAGGCTCACTTGAAAGAACAGGGGTTCATTCATCAGCCAATTAAAGACTGATCTTCACATTGAGGTGCACTGATTGGATTAATCGAAATCGAATTAGATTCTTTAAATTTAGAGAAGTGCAGATAAGAGTGTGATTTACTGTTTGAAGGCCGTGGCCCTTTGAAGCTCAACTGGAGGAGAGTCCCTCTGGGTTAAAGCAGTCATGCTTTGAAGTGTTGGCTGTGAGGTGATAAATGATAAAAATCAAATTTGTGTCTTTTGTGAAAATTTTATGCTATCAAAATATTTTTATCCCTTTGGGAGATAGCTCTTAGGCAACTATGGCTTAACCACTGTTGAATGTTTGGAATAGTGATTTTTTTCAGGGTAAATGGAAAAGTTTAATCTGGAGAGAGGTTCGAATTTGATGAATTTCATTTTGATAATGGATTTAAGTTTGAAATAAAATTTTAATTCGTCTTAAAACATGTAAAATTTTCATTAAAATTTTGAAGCTTCAATTTAACATGAAACTTGTGATGAATGTGTGGTTTTTTTTGGTGGATTCCTTTTTGTAAATATCTCTAAGTCAGTGGACATAGTGAAGGGTTGAAATGTAATTATCAAAGGAATGTCTTGATTGAGGAGGTAGAAGGGTATCTCAGAATCGATTCATTCAGAAAATGAGAATTTATTTTAACAAATAACAAGGGTCATTGACAGTGTTTTCAAGAGATTTTCTTAATTTGTTGAAAAAATAATTTTGACTTTCATTGTAAAATATAGAGAAAAAGATGTATATTGTTTGTGTAGTATGATATGTATGTGTATAAATAACAAAATGGTTGGTTGTCAGTTTGCCTGATGAATGATTGGTCAGGACTTCTGGTCCTTTTTGGTCCCTTTCTGTTTTCTTTTCCATTTTAGTGTTTACCATGCTAACTCTCTATTGGATTTTGACTATGTGTACATCTGGTTTTTTGGTCATTGGAATTAACAAATATGTTAGAAAAATTCAATTCATGACCATTTATGAATCCACACATGAAAACTTACAAGGCTTATCCTAAAGGTTGATGACTTTATAACTGATGGTATCATGAGTGTGACCTTGATCATTTGACATTTATAACAAACAATCTTTTGATCTTTATAACTGACAAGGCTCACATCTAAGTCGTCTTATAACTGACACTTCCTATTGATGTCTTCAAGGTTGACATAACTGACACTTTGTCCTTTGATAGATGACTTTGTGATACAGTTGAGCATCTTTGACATTATCCAATCTTTGAGTGATTATGTGTATTAATGTCTTCAACAGAAACTTTGTCATAGCTGACTTTGGATACAGTTGAGAATCTTCAGTGATTATGTGTATTAATTCAACTTGTCAGAGGAAGAATCTTCAGAGAGAATGAAGAAAAGGATGTCTGCTGGCACTAGACATCTATTTCTGGCGGCAGATAAACTGACTTTATCATTGACCCGTGAAGATCCGGGTTAGAATTGATCTTCAGCAACCCATGCTTGTCGTAAGAGGCGACTAACGGGATCTGGTGGTCAGGCTCGCTGACTTGGTTGACACATGTCATCGTATCCCATTTGCATTGCACGATGCTCATGCTATTGGTCACTGGATTGTCTGGTCCAGACTTGATTATTTTCAGACTACCGTCATATAGCTGGAATATTGCTGAGTGCGGTGTTACACAACAGTCAACCAACCAACCAACCAACCAACCAACCAACCAACCAACCAACCAATCAATCAATGATCAACCCATCTTCATTTATCAGGGTACTATGTCTATAAAACACCCTGAATCCATTCAAGACTGTCTGGGGGTATTGGGGTAGCCTACTGGTTAAGACCAAAGACCGGGTTCGATTCCCACATGGGTACAATGTGTGAAGTCCATTTCTGGTGTCCCCAGCCATAATATTGCTGGAATTTTGCTAGAAGCAGAGTAAAAGCAAACTCAGTCCGTCAGTCAAGACTGTCTAGTGAATATATGGACCTTAAACTTTCCTTGATCATTAAGGTAGGGGCAAGAAGTCCTTCACCTTCATGCTTAGCTTGGACAGAGATTCCTGTCTCATGGTGTTCCCGCTCAGAACAGGAGGGGACATTGTCCACAGACACCTAAGGTGGCTGAGTGGGTTTGATCACTGATTTTATGTGCTGGCAATTAGGTGCATGTCTCTGAGAGGGAGGGAGCAGTGGAGTAGCTTAATGGCTTATGTCCTCTAGTCACGCTGAAGACCCGGGTTCGATTCCCCTCATGGTACAATGTGTGAAGCCCTTTTCTGGTGTCCCCTGCCGTGATATTGCTGGAATATTGCTAAAAGCGACATAAAACCATACTCACTTACTCGCTGAGAGTATTTCGAATCCCAGATGGAAATCGACCTAACAAAAGTACTAGAATCTGTACTTTACTGGGAAAGTGTAATCCCAACTGTAACATATGTTACATTGATTGAACACCTCTCACTTTTATTAGTAGTGGCATAACTGTTGCTTGCGTGCAGCTGACAACATATGTAGGAATATAAATGACTTATTTTCCATTTCACTTTTTGCAGAGGAGGAAGAAAGTCAAGGGACTCAACACCTCAAGGGAGAAAGGTAATGTGAAGTTCTTTTAGGTAAAAGAATCAAAATTAGTAGATGTTAAAGTTAAGATGTGAGCAGATTTGTATATTTGTTTTCTTTTGTTCTCTTTCCATTGTGTTGCATATTGATGTGAACAATCAAAATATGAAAATATCTCAGGAAATATAGATCCTAGAGATTGTCTTAGGTGATGTTTGTCGTTTGATCTATACTCTATTTTAAGCTATGTGATTCGACGCCGAAACTTTGTGATAACCTTGATCTTTGTTGGGGAGTGTATGTTTTTGAACAGAACTGATAAAGAAAATCTGTATGCTATGCTGTATTCACTAATGGTATACGTCTTTGGTGCGTTTTGGGGATTCTGGAATTAAATCTTTACCTAGCAACATACGCCAATTCAAAATGCGAACAAATGGAGGTTGTAGTCAGGCTTTTTAACTTGGTTTATATCGTGACATCGTACCCAGACTGGATGGACCATTGCTAAAAAAAATCGATCACTGGATTGTCTGGTCCAGACTCAAATATGCACAGGTTGTCGTCCTAAACCTGGAATTTTGCCGAGTTTGGTGTTAACTATCTGACAAACATCTGATATCTCGTCTTCCATGAAACAATATTCACACTGTCCCATCACTGTATTCTGAAACTTGATACACGGCATGGTGGTCCTGGAAGTTCATTCTCACAAATCGTCTGTGACAGACTGCTAGAAGCCTCTCACTGTTCTCACTCCACCCAACGTACCCCTGACATCTCGTAGACAAGTAAATCCAGGTGTGGATATCGGCTGCAATATTTGTAAACCTGATATTGATGTAGATGTTTTTAAAATTTACTAGTCCAAGTGACTGCTCTGACATTGATATTGTGCCCATGGCAGTGAAAATGAATATGCCAGACTTTCCCGATGTATGGTTTCGCATACACTCTTGACGTTGATGGAAAGATCCTGTAAGTCTCTGTTGACAGTGGAAATAGATATGTCGCAAAATCGAGATGTGGCATGGCATGGATGGACAAAAGAACTGGATTTGTTTTGATTGCAGAGGTCAGAACCATGCAGGAAAGATTGTAGTGAAAATGATGAGAGCTTATGTGATAGATTTCAGTGAAATGATGAGAGCTTATGTGATAGATTTCAGTGAAAATGATGAGAGCTTATATGATACATTTCAGTGAAAAGAACCAAGACACAAACATGACCAGCTAAAAACTCTCCTATCCAAGAAGGCCATATTTTGGCTATAACCACCCTACCAAATCCCCCACCTCCAATTCTGTATAAAAGGTAGTTACCATAATATTTAAGACTATAGAGTCTCTACCAATCTGGTCCCCCTCCCCTCCTTCCACCACACATTACCCCCACTTCTCACTACCCCCACTGCACACTACCCCCTCCTGCCTAATAAATAGTTACCCTAAGATAAAAAGTCCCTACCATTTCCACCACTCCTCCCACCACAATCTATCCCCACCACACACCACCATCTTCTGCCTGAAAGCTAGTTACCCTAAGATTTAAGACCATATAGTCCCTCCCAACCTGCCACCTGTCCCCCACTGCACACTACCCCCTCCTGTCTGAGCTAGTTACCCCAATATTTAGGACTATACCGACCCACCTGTATTGTCCAATCTGACCTAGCATGTCTGGGTGTAAACCCAATACCCCAGCAGTTAACAAGGTGAAGAGAGGTAATTCATGGAGTGGGGTGATCACCATCTTGTAGAATTGTCTCTAGCTGACGTTCGCTGAATAGTAGGGCTAGTAGGAATGTGGGTTCCACCCGCCTCAGAAAACAATCTGGCGTAGCAGTCCTTTAGCTGTCAACCTAACAATAATGTCTGTATCTGACCTCCAGGCAGCCATAGCCCTTAGCCCATCAAGCTTGAATTTAATCAGGGCACTTCTAGACATATCTGTTGCAGAAGTTGCATAGACTGTAATCCCTGTTAATCCCGGTCCTATCTGATAATCTTGATATATCTCGGCTAATGCTAGCTGACAAGACAAGCGAGCTGCTTTAATAAGGATGTCTGTTGTAGCTTAAGTTTCTTGGAATCTTCAGAGTGCAAATGGTGAAAAAATTGACTGTGGTTCAAATTTCTGATTTTTTTATCGAGGAGATAATTGTCTCTTTTGATGGGTTTTTTGTTTGGTGGTGGAGGCGTAATCCAAGGGGATAAACTGTAGATCCAGTTCCGCGGCCGTCCAACCCTCCGTGCGATCTGTATTCATGATTAGGAGGAGGGTGACTGATGACAGCCAGCTGTCTCATGTCCGTCTCCTCAAGGACATGGAGGAGCAGTTATTGCATGTGAATGGTGCTCGGGTCATAGAAATACATTCACTTTGCTGTCACAGCGGGGGATGTTTGTTCTCGAGAAAGGTCACACATGTTTACATGTGTGCTGGCATGTACATATTTTTGATCTCAATATAATTTTGTGTCTACCTATTATTCACACAGAGAGAGAAAGTGAAATAACATAAAATATTGCTACTTTATCTACAAATCCCAGTAATATAAATTGGAATTTTGGTAAGAAACGTCTTTGGTTGTGTAGCTCAGACTGGTGTCAGTTCATGCATCTTAGTACTTATCACTCTTTTATAAATATTCAATATTTTAGAAAAATGAAATGAAAAAAGCACACACAGAATTTCTGCTTTTGAAAATGTTAATATTTTTGTCTGCAAAATCATGATTTAAACAGTAAAATGTTTTTTATTCTCTAAAGTAACGGGCGGTATTTCTGAATATTTCTTTACTACCTGTCTCAAGTCCCCATGGCTGGAATGACAGATGACACAAGGATATTTAGATGAAATGAACAGTTTGACATCAGCGCGTAGTAGATCTTAGGAACGCTACGACACAACTAAAGCAAACTATTATGTGATGTACATGTTTGTAACAAACTGATGGATATAATGAGCTGTGTTTTTGGTTCAAGTCGCTGTAGATATTAGTCGAACTACGGTTATGGTGAACTAATATTAGTGGTTCCTTTGAATTTGTTATAACCGTAGTTTTCAGTACATTTACCATCTAGATTGTGATTGAGTGCAGAATTTGGGTTTACGCTGCTTTTAGCAATATCGTGATTGAGAACACCAGATATGAGCTTTACACATTGTACCCATGTGAGAAACCGAACCCATGCCTTTAGCATGTTTAGTATGACTAGCGAACGCTTTGACCACTAGGCTACCAGATCATCCTCAAGTTTGTGAAGGGTCCGTGGGGTAGTCTAGTAGTTAATGCCTTCGCTTGTCACGCCGTAGACCCGGATTTAATTCCCCACATGGGTACAATGTGTGAAGCCCATTTCTGGTGTCCCCTGCCATGATATAGCTGGAATATTGCTAAAAGCGGCGTAAAACCATACTCACTCACTCACTCTCAAGATTGTAAAGCCAACAAGCAATGGCTGACTACAGTCGATTATAGGTTTGAGCAGCCTGGATTTTCCAGCATTTGAACATTTTGAACGAAACTATTTTGTTATTAAGAATCTGGTCAGCATGACATGAATAAAGTGTGTCCTGACTGGCTGTCATTGTCCCCTGGCCCACAGACAACTGTATTGTAGATGTGTTGCTGTTTTCCAGACATTGCCATCACCGTCTTCCTGCAGGAAAGGGAAGGACTCACCATCACCAGAGGTCGCATCTCAAGCCAGATTTGAGGTACAGAGTTATTGCCCTTGTTTTACAAAGTAAATGTGGGATTATCTCTTTTAAGAGTTAACAAAGGACAACAAAATGAACTTAGCTCACCATCTCCAGAGATCACATCTCAAGCCAAATTTGAGGTACAGAGTTATTGCCCTTGTTTTACAAAATGGGTTTTTCTACAGGTGTAAGGAACTGAACCTGGGGTTTCCCATGAGGAGCAAACACTGAAACTATTGGGCTACCTCAATTCCTTAAAAAATCACACAAATTGGATCAGGAAGTGTCAAATTTACTGAGATACATACAGCACCATGACTCAGATAAAACATTAACAAGACTGAGAGCTAAGTTTATTTTGTTGACCTTTGTTAACTCTTGAAACAGATAATCCCACATTTCCTTCTGCTGTTGCCCTGCCTCTTGATTGAATATTGCTAAGAGCAGCTTAATTTCAAGGAGCAGCTTAAAGGGAATTGTGCACCATCATACCCTAAAAGTGTAGTGATTCTTTCCAGAGTGACCTGCATTAACTGTGATTTATCCCTTCTGGTTTTTGAAAAGCAACGTAAAAACATTTGAATTAAAAATTGTGTTTGGTTATACAATGAAAGATGACATTTGTTGTACCTTGTTTACACCCGACATCCCTTCGTCTATTGTATGCCATCTCAAAGCATGGTACATAAGAAGTAAATACATTTCACACAACTGTAGTCTCAAACAGATGCCTATTCAGATCGTCAAGTGTACAATAGGTTTTGAGGTGGGTTTTAAGCCCAGAAATAATCCTTTCGTAACACAGTATCTGTTGATTGAATGTCTTGACGCATTGTACAATTGGAATTGTCATGAAATTAATCTACCCCAACACAAAGCTGCTGTACAAGTGCTTGAATCCCGACCCAAACAAAAACGGCTTAAATTCCTGACAAATTATGTGAAACCAAAGCTGTGCGACCTCGTGTCATCACCTTGTTTATAGCCCTGTTTCATTTTTCTATTGTCGTTTTTCAGTCCTACCTACGTATCCGCTGTAATCGGCAGTCACGCCTCAGCGGTAAGTATGTGTTAAATTCTATTTATCATCCTCCAAACTGTGGGTGGCTGTAGTTTCGACACTGTCCCTTTACACAACAGTTTCTTGAATTTCTCGGAACAGGTGGATTTCGGACATGAAAGAATAGCGTGCATTCTTTGCATTTCAGTTTTAACTTTATACTTTTTGAGAACAAATGTTTTTTTAAAGTTTGGTTTTAAAGAGAGCGGTTATATTGTGCAGTGTTTGAGTTGACAAGAGCATTGGGTGTGATTTAGTTTCAAGAGATGTTGCCAAAGAAGCAGATAACTTTTTGTAGCATCTGTAAGTTCTCAGGTGTATCTTTGTATGGAGCTGCTTTGAAATGTATCCATTCATAAGTACAGCAGTATCCAAATTATAGTGTGAACCTATTCTGGTATTACTGGATCGGAGACATATTTAAAGTTTTTCCTCAGGCCATGAAAAGTTCTTAAATGCTTCTTTTTATCTTCCTTTTTGAGAAGTTTGTTAATAATGTATTTTTGCTTTTTAAATAACTAAATGTTTTGCCACAAAAGTGCATTGTGGGAATGCAATACGGTATAGCGATAACTGATGCAGTAGTATCATGACACTAATTGTGACTTTTGCAATGTTGTTGAAATGTTAGGATCTTTTGATATACAGTCAACACTGCTGTGTCCATATACTGTCAAACACCACTGTTGATATACAGTCAAAATATACAGTCAAACACCTTTGTTGATATACAGCCAAACACCGCTGTCGATATACAATCAAACACCGCTGTCGATATACAGTCAAACACCGCTGTGTCGATATACAGTCAAACACCGCTGTTGATATACAGTCAAAATATACAGTCAAACACCTTTGTTGATATACAGCCAAACACCGCTGTCGATATACAGTCAAACACTGCTGTGTCGATATACAGTCAAACACCGCTGTCAATATACAGTCATACACCGCTGTCAATATACAGTCAAAATATAGTCAAACACCGCTGTCGATATACAGTCAAACACTGTTGTGTCGATATACAGTCAAACACCGCTGTCAATATACAGTCATACACCACTGTCAATATACAGTCAGTCACTGCTGTGTTGATATACAGTCAAACACCGCTGTCGATATACAGTCAAACACTGCTGTCGATATACAGTCAGTCACTGCTGTGTCGATATACAGTCAAACACCGCTGTCGATATACAGTCAAACACCGATATACAGTCAAACACCGCTGTCGGTATACAGGCAGTCACTGTTGTGTCAAATTTACACTTGTCTCAAAGAGAAAGCATGGAACTTATTTCTTCTTTGGTTAATTTTTTTTCTACATTTTACTTTTATTTACATTATACTTACATTTTATTCTGTTTTTTTATATATATTGTTTTTACATTCCTGATTCAATTTGTTTTAAATACCATAATTGTAAACAAAGTTTTGAAAAATGTCTGGCCTTATGTTCATGAACAAATGCCGAAGATTTTATACCTAGTTTCTCGGATACTACTTATTGGAAAACAGATGCGATTTATGAGTCGTAGCTCTTGTTCAGTGTGACACATTCCCTGCAATCAAAACTACTATTACACCTCATGAATTTCCACGATCACAAAAAGCATTAATAAAATTTCCACGGATCTATAAAACACACGAACATCAGGCCTTCAAAACAAGGGTCATCAGGTCCAACTAGCATCCCTCTACCAACGACAGCTGACAAAAGCATTTGTGTGAATTAATCTTACACAACTGCTACAATGGTTATATCATGTTTCCGTTTCCTGTGCCGTATTATTCAAACAAATCCCTGCGACAATGTACACGTCTGATACTGACAGACTGAGATTCCTACATAACCATTATTTCCCTATACCAGGCTTTTAAAGCTGGGTTCGTAATCGGAGCATTTTGCACGACAATTTGTCTCTCTGCCCTGATGGCTTCCTATGCCTGGATTCCCTGGCTTAATTTGATTAATATAAACTGACTAGATCATGAATGATTTAGACTGGTTGTGTCATTCAACTGATCTTGTCCTTATCGCGAATAATGCTGGCAATATTTTATTTGATACGACCAAGGGTCAAAAGGATATAAATAAACTTCTTGAACTTTATCCAAGTTGCACCAGAGACATAGGAAGATAATTATCTTTGTCTTAAAGAATGATTAATCTGTATTGATTGCGGTATTAGTCATGCTGTGAATGTATCCGTGTTATGAAAAGAATTAGTTTGGAGATTATTGTTGCTGCAGAGTTTTCCTGGCTATTGATTTGAGTTGAATTATGGGAGATGAAGATAGTCCCCTTTTGTCCTGGCCACAAAGTGTTTCAGTTTATGAAGTTCAGTGTTTCCTCCTCCACTGTTGTCCCTGTTTGTCTTACTAAAAACAAGTTAAGGGTCACACATTTCTTTAATGTTACGATATTTAATCTGGCACAGATTAAGTATAGCAACAGGAAAAAGTCTGTCAAACTTTTTAGTGTACTGTATTATAATTATTACAACTGACAACAACTTTAGCTGCAAGTTCTCAGCTAGAGGGGGCAGTGTGGTAGCCTAGTTGTTAAAGCGTTGGCTCATTACGCTGAAGACCTGAGTTTGATTCCCCACATGGGTACAACATGTGAAGCCCATTTCTGGTTTCCTCCGCTGTGATATTTCTGGAATATTGCTAACAGCGACGTAAAACCATACTCACTCACTCTCAGCTAGAGTTTAATCAAATACCTTTCGGTCTTGTCAGCTCAGAACATAACCGTCCATCTTTTAACACTAAGGTTGGAAAAGATTTGCAAATGAATCTGTAAAATTTGCAAGTGTCTTTGAGAAGTTTGATAGACCTTCTTTATTATTACCACATGTGGATTAAAGTTTTCGCTCGTAATGCTGAAGGCCCGGTCTTCATTCCCCACATGGCCACAATGTGTGATGCTGGAATATTGCTAAAAGAGGCGTAAAACTCTACTCACTTACTGACTCGCTCATAGTCTCATGTGATTGATGAAACTTGGTTTTTGTAATATTGGTATGATGAGCTCTGCTGCTGTATTTTAAATTCATGAAAACGTTTTCTCTTTTGTATTTGCAGCTCGGTGCCGGAATAAGAAGAAGAAGCCATCGGAAGAAGGTTACAAGGAGACATTATGTCCGGTGTGTAATGACAGACTGACAGGGAATGCTGACGAACTCAACGCCCATGTAGAACAGTGCTTAAAGAAGGCTGGTTACCTTAATAGATACATTGTACCATTGATTTGACACGTGATCATCACTTCCTTAAAGCAGAACCAATAGTATGGAGACAATATCTTTTGAATAACTGTGTCAACTATAGTTAACTGTGCAGGCTTTGAGAGTATATTCCTTTGGAAATATAATGCTGGAATGTCTTATACACAGTTTTATCTCCGAATTAAAATGCTTCTTCTTTATATATACATGAGTATATTTCTGTATCCATAAAATTATGTCAACATCTTCAGATGAATACCCAGGTGCAGTAGTTTGGGGGCTCCATTGATAATGGAATGTAAGCATTTCTTACTGATATATTGGGGCTATGGGTTGGCCTAGTGGTTATACCATTTGGTCATCATGTTCAAGGCTCTGGGCGTTTGTATGATGCCATTCATGATGTCACTTGCCGTCATTTCTGGAATATTGCTGAAAGTGGCATAAAAGACAACAGTTACTATGTTTGGCTCCACTTTTCCTCATTATAATGAAAAGAAGAAACACTTCTACAAAATATGCTGGATGAAATTTTCACTTTTTCAAGTTTTGTTTTTTTTACTTTTTACAAATTGATCTTCAGAGGTAACTGTTGGTGAGGTTTTATTGTGAATGTCTTTTCCTCCACAGTATCAGACCCGAGGAGACCTAGGGGAGGATGAGCCGGTGGACGTGGAGGGGGATGGAGACCAGTACGAGGAGTACACGTGGGCGGGGCAGACCAGGGTCAGGGCGACCACCATGCTGCAGGGAGGGTTTGCCAGTGAGTTGCACATTCCTACTTCAGGGTTCAGGGAGCTGTGGGGTAGCTTAGTTGTTGAAGCGTTGGCTTGTCCACCAAAACCCGGGTTCGATTACCCACATGGGTACAATATGTAAGCCCATTCCTGGTGAAGGCTCCGACTCCCCATGAAAACTGCTGGAATATTGCTAAAAGTGGTGTAAAACCCAGCTCAGTTCAGAGCCCTGGGGGGAAAGGCGCTCAGCAGCCATGAGTTAGAGGAGGCTGAATGATTGGGTGGACAGGTTCTGGGGCTTACTTGATTGTGTTTGATTGTACCAGGGTGTTGTTCATGATATCAGTCACTGGTTTGTCTGGTTCAGACTCGGTTGTTTACAGATTGGTAACTTAATCCTGGAGAATTACTGAATGTTTCCTTTGATGAAAAATGTATTAATCACATTGTTTGAAATAAGAATGGTTTTGTTTCTTTTGCGTTTGACAATGATTGCCATTTTAAGTATGTAATGTTTGTTACAGAGTCAGGATTCCAGACAATGAACTTGCGGAGAATACAAGATGAAGATATTGATCTCAATGTAGATGGGGATGATTCTGAAGAGTATGGAAAACCTCAGTATCCTTTCACTGCAAATGGACATGCCACCTTGCCATATTATTCTTTAGAACTATTACAGCTGGTGAAAACTTATCAGGTTCCTCTGTGGAAATGTTCAGGAGATTAGGTCCCCAGTACTAGCATCTGATGCAGTTGGAAAGTTTGACCTTGCTCACTGAGTTGAATCAACCACCGTCGTGATGTTAGTTTACATGGTCCAAGAAATTTAGATCCAAATCTTTTGTTTTCGACACAGGCTTTCCTCACACATATTACTCGCCTGCTTTAGAATGACCTAGTTTTGGAGAAACGAATTGGTGTTACCATGTCTTCATCCTGTATAATGTAGACATAAGATTGATCATTATGGCAATTTGCCTTATTGTGGGAAGTGTCTGAAAGACATGTTTCTTTTCCTTAACCTTGTGAAGATTTTCTGAAGTTGATGTGATTCCTGTCAGTGCGGATGAACCGGGGGAGGACCGCGAGAGACAGGCTTTGAGAGGAGCGTTACTCAGGTGAGTAGATTAAAACTGTTCTTTCAGGTGGTCTGGGTGGCCCAGGGCCTAGATTTTCGAAGCTATCTTTGAGCTAAGATAGTCGTAAGTTAATGTTAATATATGGCACTTCCGACTATCTTAGTGCTAAGAGAGCTTCGAAAATATAGGCCCAGTAGTCTAAAGTCTCATAGTCATGACAGGATCCGTCAACTGAGTTTGAATACCAGCTTTACATTGGTATCATTAGTTGGTCAGTACCAGACCCGCCCATGAGGACATCACCCGCATGTTGCGTTCAGACTTGAGTAAAACTGAAATATTATTTCAACCTTATAATGATATGAAGTCAAATTAATTTATGTTAAGGAACTAGGAAATATCTTTGCTATATATATCTCAAATATTTGTAATGAAATTATGTATTTTACGGCTTCTACATCATTTATATATTTCAAAAAACTATTTTTAAGTAAGTGTATTTTTGAGGACATTATGAAATCCACCTCCCAGTATTAAAAGTAAAACTGATGATGATAATGTCTATATTTCAGTTCTGATCCAAGTTCTTCACATACAGAAGGTAAGTAAAATCAGTGTGTTTTTCACCTGTTTAAGAACCAGTGAACCTATATAGCCCAGAAAATACATAAACACCTTTCTAGACTCGCACTTTTTCATTAAGGGGCAGTGGGGTAGCCTAGTGGTTAAACCATTCACTCGTCGCGCTGAAGGCCCGGGTTCCATTCCCTACATGGGCACAATGTGTTAAGCCCATGTCTTGAGTCCCCCGCTGTGATATTGCTGGAATATTGCTAAAAGCAGTGTAAAACCAAACTCACTCACTGTTTTTCATTAAGGGTCTCTTTAAAAGCGATTTGGTAAATGTCAAAATATTAACTGATTTGAGCTAACAAGTAATGAAAGACTGGATATTAACAAAGCTCTCAAGGACATCAGCAAGTAATAGAATGCTGCCTAAGACAAATACAAAAACACTAGAGAAAAACCCTAGACTGTAAGAGTTGTGTCCCCTTAATTGGTACAATGCATTACGGTTTCCAGTATAACATGTTTGGTTTCCACCAGATGTTAGCTCATGATTGCCAGAGCAGCTTTATCAAAACTATTGAGTGAGTGAGTTTGGTTTTACACCACTTTTAGCAATATTCCAGAAATATCACAACAAGGGACACCAGAAATGGGCTTCACGCATTGTACCCATGTGGGGAATCGAACCCTGGTCTTCAGTGTGAGGAACGGACGCTTGAACCATTAGGCTACACCACCGCCCCTCAAAACTGTTGCCTAATGTTGGCACTCTGGATGTCTTGAATGAAGGATACTTCATTCTGTTCACATGGTCAAACTCTATCCTGTATCAAGTACATTTGTTCCGTTATTTATTCCTGTTTCTTGCACATTTCCAGGACATTCCAACTCCCCCGAGTGTCAAAGTAAGCAGTCACATGACCACAACCACGATGTTCCCATGGAGGGGTCAAGGTAGGTGCTGCTCACTGAAGACTTCATGAAGGACAGTGCAATGAGTTACATACATGTGGAAAAGTCTTTCATTTTTGTTCAGAGTTTTATCCCTTGAATATGTCAGGATCAGTTTGTTTCAATCCCATTTAGGGGTCCATTATCTTTGGTCTGTCAACACCTCTTCTGTGTTGAGTTTCATACTTTGTCACAGCATTGCAAATTTTGTCATAGTATATTTCTTCCACATCAAATCAAGATGAAGTGATAAATTTGACTGGCCTCAATCCATTCATTGACCAGATGACCTTTCTCACCAGTAATGAAGATTCCATTGCAAGATAGGACAATTGGGCAAAATAATGAAATGGCAAGGACAGTTTTGAAAATTTGATTGTTCAAGATATTTCATGTTTTTAACTTGATTGCAGTGTGAGCACGACCACAGGTTCGTCGACATCAGAAGTTATCGGTGCACTGCGGTCCCGACTCAGGGATCTGGAGGAGGAGAAGTCCGAGAGACAGAAATGTCTCATCTGTATGGTGAGTAGTGCACGGCTTGCCCATTGTGGCCGTGGGGGGTAGATGAGGTAGCCTGATGGGTAGAGCATCCGCACTTAACGCTGAAGACCCGGGTTCGATCCCCCCACATGTGTACAGTGTGTGGAGCCAATTTCAGGTGTCTTCCACGATGATATTGCTGGAATATTGCTAAAAGCGGCTTAAAACCCTACTCACTCACTCACTCACTACTCACTGTGCCCAAGGTCAGCTATAGTGTAATGTTTGTTTCTCAGTCTCTGTCATAAACATGATAGTGTCAGGCAGGCAGGTGGGCGGCAGATGGATGATAACATAAACTCACCTTTGGGGGAGAATACAGGTTGTCTGTTGATCAAGGGCTCTGTAATGATGAGATGCTTGATATATCTAAGCTATTAACTTGGGTGTACTTTATTGCAAACCAACACAGATGGGGGTATGGTATACTATGCGGCAAAATTGGCAAGTATGAACCAAGGCAAGATGTATTTGTTATCAGTTTAGAAGTCTCTTGTGGTCAGGCTCGCTGACTTGGTTGACACATGTCAATGGTTCCCAATTGCGCAGATCAATGCTCATGCTGTTGATCACTGGATTGTCTGGGCCCCGTTCCACAAAACGATCGTAGCGCTAAGATGAACGTAACTCCCATACTTCAACATAGACTTACGACTGTCATAGCGCTACGATCGCTTTGAGGAACGGGGCCCGGGTCCAGACTCGATTATTTACAGACTGCCGCCATATAGCTGGAATATTGCTGAATGCGGAGTAAAACTAAACTCACTCACTCACTAGGAAGTCTCTTGTCAGAACGTGGTAATGACCATCAGATCTTCATGAAATACGATCCAGCATATCTTTAAAGAAGGTGTTTTAAATCCAACTCACTGCAACCCTGTGTGTCAGTTTAAAATATTCATTTGAAACTGTTCAGTTCTGTGTAACAGTAATATGAACACCCACATTTGATGTTTTCTAGGAACCGTACCGGAATGCCCTGACATCAATACAGTGCTGGCATGTCCACTGTGAAATGTGTTGGCTCAAAACACTGGTGAGTACTGCAAAGTATACATACAACGTAGATGGTTTATTGTCCCCCGCCGCAATGTGGAACTGGGGACTATGTATTCAGCAGCGTCCGTACATACGTATGTACGTCCCGATTCTCGTATCTCATGAAGTGTTGTTCCCAATGTCTTCAAATTTGGTTACAGCCTACATTGGGAGATTACACAGACAACAGTCGATTTGGGTGACCTTGACCTTATTTTCAAGGTCACCACGTCACTTTGACAACTTTTCAAACATATGTAAATGCAATCTCTCATAAAACATTGCACGCAGTGTCTTCAATTATGTCAACAGCCTACATAGGGTGATTTTGCAGACACCAGTCATTTCTTGTATGTGACCCAAAAATAAAAAGTAGTAAATATGTTATAAATATTTCATTCTTCTTAAGCGGCATGGGACATTGCCATATTAGTGGTAAACACTTGTTATGCAAGAATGTATATTCTATGACTTACTCTGTTAAGCCTATAAAACTTTTGAGCATGTTTAGGCCATATGCAGATCAAGAGGAATGTGTCATTCATTCATTTCCAAAAAAGTTTTAGTGGTCCTCTACTAGTGTGTCCTGTAGTAGAGGTGGGGTAGCCTAGTGGTTACAGTGTTCGCTCGTGATGCTGAAAACCCAGGTTTGATTCCCCACATGGGTACAATGTCTGAAACACATATCTGGTGTCCCCTGCCATTATATTGCTGGAATATTGCTAAGAGTAGCTTAAAACTAAAACTCAGTCACTCACTCACCCAATCCTCATTTAAGTCAAATGATTTTACAAGAAACATGAAGTGCCCATTCAGATATCCAAGAAAGTTTAGGATCTTTAAATCATTGCATAATCTTGACATATTTTAAGATGTATTTATTCTGAATATCCTGTTTCTTTCAGGGAGCGAAGAAGTTGTGTCCACAATGCAACATGATTACCTCCCCTTCTGATCTCCGAAGAATATATCTCTAGTTCCCATCCCATCCACCAGGTGTCCGTAGGCTTGTAGTCTTGTTTTCAATCAGGGACAATTTCCATTGGCTGTGGATACTCGTCGTATGTGGCTTAGCCAATCAGAAGTCAGTACCAGGATCTGAAGGAAGCAGTACATGAGGTCTGAAGAGCTGTCCTGTTGGTGCAGAGTGTTAAATGTGAAAATGTAAATAAATAAAGGTTTTATTGCCAAAGTAGACCACTGTAATGTAAAAATACCACACTGTACAGATAAATTATATGATGTGTTGTTATAACTTTGAATAATGCATAGTCGAGAAGGACTAGTTTTGTTCTGTTCCCCCGATTTTGTGGATGTTTTATGGTTTGATCATTATCAACCAGTATTAATGTTGAAATCACCCCAAATGAAGTTTTCACTTGCCTGAAACAAAGTTGTCATTTACCTGAATGAAAATTTGTTGTGGAAATTGCACAAAGCGTCATAAACCTATCGCATTGAACTTAAATTACAAATTAATATGATGCCTGTTTTCATACTTTCATTTCATCAACAAATGAATTGTTTTTATTTCATAAAGCAAGTTGATTAATAATCAGTTCAACACAGGTTATATTCTTCAGAAGTTCAAATGCTTATTGTCATTAAGTCAAATGTTTGGGTAAATATTCATATGTACTATGACTATTTCAAATGTGGAATTATTGGTTTCTGTCAAATCTGAAACATCTGTCAGGAAATCACAGTATTACAATCTGGAGACGTTATATCAATTTGTGATGGAACCGTCAAGGCATAATACTTGAGTTGTTGGTATTTAATTAGGAAAGAGTTTACCCAGTGTGGACAGATCCTGTTAGTCCAGAAATCCTTACTATATTGTGGTTTGGAAAAAACACAGCAGTTCGACTCATTGAACCTGAAAATTGAATACTAGTATCAGTATGGGGCTTTAATGTATTCAGGAAAAAGCAGATTGGTCACATGAGCATTGAAGTCGATCACACATTTACAATAGGAAATACAATGTAATAAATCTCTAAAGAAATTAAACACCCCATCCTACAGTTTGAAAACAAGGTCTTGTGAGTAAAATGAAGTTATCCAAGCCAATTGTTTTTCACTGTTGTGTACGTTACTCAAAAGAAGTTAAAGGGGCCGTGGGGTAGCCTAGTGGTTAAAGCATTCGCTCATCACGCCAAAGACCTGGATTTGATTCCCTAAATGGGTACAATGTCTGGTGTCCCCCGCCGTGATATTGCTGGAATATTGCTGAAAGCGGCGTAAAACTAAACTCACTCAAAAGAAGTTAAAGAACACCAAACGTTCCATATGAAATATCAGACTGACATATGAAGGAAATAAGGTGATCTTTCAAAGGGTTTGAGTAGTATATGATGGTAATGCCCTACCCATGGGCGTATATCTTGTCACCTGCAAGTGTTCTAGACAGGTATGTATTCTAATGATAGTCGGGCCGGTGGGGTAGCCTAATGGTGAAAGCGTTTGCTTGTCACGCTGAAGACCCGGGTTCGAATCCCCACATGGGCACAATGTGTGAAGCCCATTTCTGGTGTCCCCCGCCGTGATGTTGCTGGAATATTGCTAAAAGCGGCGTAAAACCAAACTCAGTTAGTCTAATGACAGTCATATAATTTGCCCCAAGATAGGATATGTGTATTTTATGACACACTATGCTCCTACAGAACCTGCTTGTGTTGTGTGGCCCTGTGCATATTGAGATAATGTGATAACACCATTAAAGAGAAATTATTGTTATTAACATGACTTTTCAAAGGACTGTTGGGATCATGGTTTTGGGATGTTTTAAGTAGTTCAGGTGCATTGCATTTCAAGACTCATATATATATTTTATAAATTGCTTATTTTAAATATTGTAATAAAAAAGTAATTCAATTCTTTAGAATTTAACCTTGAAGTGTTTGACTTAAATCAGAAGAAACTGGGTCCGTCTTTGTAAGTTTGCATAAAAAATAGCAATAGTTTTGTATTGGACCGAGTGTTTGTGAAGTCCTGTAAGCAATGTCTTCTATGGGTCATATGAAGTGCTTCAGCATGGCTGAACCTCAAACATTTAAGAAATCTAAAAGACTTCTTAAGGAACATAGATCTAGAGTGCTCTGTGTGATAACCAGTATTCAGTTTGTAAAATCAAACATTTCTTATGAATATACATTCTTTTGCATTTATGTTTCATAAAGATAAAAATGACATTTTTTAAGACAAATGCTGCTTAAGCAAGCTAATAAGAAATGACCTCGTACCGATATTATGGCAAGAGATACAGATATTATTTTCGAACTGGTGATCTGGAAGTGTTGCACATTGTTCCTTACTTATCCTGCTTCTTCAGCTTGGGCAGTCAAATTCGATTTAACGTTTTTGATCCGTCAAAACTGCTAATATGGTTGAATTGGGGGCTTCACTGCCACTGTAATTATTTATTGATTGTTCAGGTTTTAATCCCGATTTGATGTTGGTTTGTTGCCTTAACCCAATTCAATTTGAGCCATCCCCACAAAATTAGACAATATGGAGGGATGGAACTAATACACTCCACAGACTGCCAGGAATCTTACAGATATTTTATCATATTATCCAAGCTTGATATGACTGGATACAAAACCAGTGGAGGCAGTGATTTTTGCAGAGCCCCAGAAGTCAATGTACATGTAGTGGTTGTAAGTGACCTTGAACCTTGCTTTTAGTTGGTTCATTAAACTGTTGTCCGCTGAAGGCAGATTCTGTTTTCCCAGCAGCTACTGTTTCACTGTGGGTGTCCTGTTGTGTGATAGAACTATACTGGAGAGTTTGACAATGTGTAGGTCAATTTGTCTGTACTTATATTTATGAATGGGAGACTGTTGCCATGCAGGATTGATCTGTTGGTGTAGAACGGACTTTGGGAAACTCTATCAAGTGCTATGCTCGACGAGTTGTAGATATCGTGTGTATGACTATTGTTCTTATGAGCTGAAGATATTCCAAAGATATTCTCCACAGTTCTGTGGTTAAAGAGTGTAAATAAAATGCCCGAAAATTTGAAATCATGTTTGTTGTTGTTTAACCTCTTTGAGAGGCATTTAGGAGTTGGAGCAGTAAGGAAGGATAACAATATATGGATGAACAACTTCTTTATTGCTGTGAGAGCGACGTTTCGGTGTAGGTTCTAACACCGTTATCAAGCATGTGATGAACATCGTGAGGATAGAGGAACTTATATACAAGTTAGAGGGGATGTTTGTACAGTACAATAGGGGACCTAGTGTTGACCAGTGAATACACAATGCCATTTAGAAAGTGGTCATTTCTAACATATGTTATATTTGGGATGACACTTTCTCAGTAAAGTACAGATTCTAGTACTTTTATTGGGATTTGAACCCACACCCTTAGAGTTAGGCACCTAATCGTGGTTAAAGCGTTTGATCGTCACGCCGAAGACCCGGGTTCGATTCCCCACATAGGTACAATGTGTGAAGCCCATTTCTGGTGTCCCCCCACTTTGATATTGCTGAAATACAGCTAAAAGTGCCGGAAAACTAACCTCACTTACTTATTACTGGTGAGGATTTTGGAACCTTCCTTGGCCCACCAGTTACCTCCCCTTTGGGCCTTCACACTCCCCAGCCATCTTGGTTCAGAAGCTACTGCCGACAAAACATGGTGCTGTTGCTGAGAAGGAGTCTTAGAGACGATGGTCTCGATCCCTTTTGAAGCTCCTTACTGGGATCATGTCCAACTAAATAGTACTAAACTTGCTGAATATATGCATCTCTTATTGGTTGATATCCCTGTATATCCCTTTTGCTCATTTTTAGCAAACATTATAGAGGAGGGGTGAAAAAATATGTAGAAAAATATGACTGTAGAGAGAAGGCAGAATGATATTTACTTTAAGAAAACTATCTAGAGTATCTGGTTGCAGACAGGACCAGTTGCTTTGAGAAAAGGGACCTGATTGTGAAAGCCGAATTGTGGCAAGTGTGGTGTAGATTGGAGGCCATATTTTTGTAGATCTATGTGTAGCTAGGATTGCCGGAACCTTCTGTCTGGATGCTGAAGAACACATATTCTGTGAAACAACTGCATGTATTATCCAAAAAAACAGATTCACCTCTTTGGAGCCATTATTCAGTAACATTATATTGTAGAGATAATTAAGTCTTAAAGATTAATTGCCTTTCTTCAAAGTGATTCCCATGTAATATGAAATATAACTTCAGATGGGAAAAGTACTGTGGTGGAAGGGAGATAACTGGCTGATTAGCAACACGTTTCATCAAGTCCGAAAATTCAAAATGCAGCAGCGTCATGAAAGTTGGGATGGGGTGAGTGAGTGAGTTAGTTTAGTTTTACGCCGCACTCAACAATATTCCAGCTATATGGCGGCGGTCTGTAAATAATTGAGTCAAGACCAGACAATCCAGTGATCAACAGGATGAACATCGACCTACGCAGTTGGGAATTCGATGATATGTGTCAGCCAAATAAGCGAGCCTGACCACCCGATCCCGTTAATTGCCCCTTACGACAAGCATGGGTTACTGAAGATCAATTCTAACCCCGATCTTCACGGGTAGGTTGGGATAGGGTAAGATGAAGTGAATCGTGTTCAAGTTCTAGAATCGTGCCCTTATAGACAGACGTGTGTTGTGCCCTGTGCGTGTACCTGTCCATGCTAAAAAAGTATTTCCAGCTTATGGCAGTTGTATAGTCGGCCGTGTAAACAAGGATACACCACCACACAGACACAGTGTACTGGCTTCAAGACGACCAGTCCTTGTTTTATCTTCTTAATGTCATTCGCAGGTCTGGGAAACAACAATGATCTTCCTCTCTCTGGGCAGGCCGCAGAATGTGTTATACATACAGGTGTGGCTTGTCACTTGTGCCGGAACCGTGAGCATCCGGTCCGTTGGTGTTGTCCTATCCGAACTGCGTAGTTCGATGTAAAATGTATTTTAATATGGACTAAGCAGGCGCGTTGCAAGCCAATTACTTCGTGTAATCCCGATGGTTGCAAAACTTTATATTTAAATAGTATTGAGGGCTTGCCCAACCTTTTTGGCAACACTCATGTGTAAGACCGGGCTTTGTTTTATAATGGTACTATTATGGTACAGTCATTGGACATTAGTATTCGTCACTGTGCATAATTTCCATAGACTTACATGTTAATTTGGTGCAGCTAGAAAAAATATCTTGAATTTATTTGTCGTTTGATTTTGTTCATATTTTGCACATGTATCATGAATCATCTCAGCTGACATAATTTCCGTTTTATTTTTCATTCAGTATTTCAAGAATGACCACACTTTGATTGATGCGTGTCATGGTTATGACAATTTTTACCATGGCGGTCTATGGGGAAAGAATACACAATGTATATATGTTGCTCATGTAACTACAATGCGGAAAATACTTAAAGGAACGTTACATGGAAATTATGTATCTGTGACCCAAGATGATTTCCTATCAACCTGCAAAATGTGACAACCAAATAACGAAAACTGAATTAATGAAAATTATTACAGCTACACTAAAATTGCATGCAAGTCTTTGAGAATTTTGCCGACAGACGAATACTTATGTCCCATGACTGTAGCTACGCCTCGCTTTGAAAATGACTATTCCATCCCCAACATATGACTTTCGGGCAAGCGTTTTCATGATGTGCACGTCAACATCGCCGGGGTAAATTTCAACTGAAAGTTGTACTGATATTATTTTAAACTCTTTTTAACATATAGCAGTCTGTACGTCAGGAACGGCTAAGTGCAATGTCTCATGATGGAACAAAACGGAGCATTGTGGCACGGGCTCTTAACGTTTCGCAGTCAGTAATTAACAGATTACAATCATGATATCGACAGACAAATGACGTTGATGACAGACTGATCTGGCGCACAAGACCGTTTCATTAGAACGATTGTTACGAAACCATGGTCAAAGTGCCTCTTGTAACTGGTGATGACCTTCACAGAACTACTATACAGGTGTTCGAGCGGACAGACGATTCAACCTGCATGCCCATACGTCTACGTGTTACCCAAAGATTGACGGACCATCACAGGGCAGATGCAGCTTTTGAGAAAAGATGGGGGATGGGGGTGCACACTATTGAGAAAGGAGGGGTGCACACTTCATTTTCACACGAGTTTCAATGGTCATTTAACAAACTTGCAGCACAAAGGGGGTGCGCACCCCTGACCCCCAACCCACCCCCACCCTCTGGATCCTCCTATGCATCACATTACTGCAAGACGCCGTTGCTGTCTAGAAGTGCAGGCGCGTAGCAAGACAATTTTTTCGTGTAAGCCCGATAGGTTGCAAAGCTTTGTATTTAGATAGCATCGCGGGCTTGACGTCATTCATATACATGTCCATGGAAAAACAATCATCACTGAAAGAAAGACACCTTTCAAATTTATGATATGAAGAATACCATGTTTACTGTAGTCTGTACATGGTGACGGTATTGGTAATGCTTTGTTATCAAAGAATATTACCATTTTTAAATGGTTCTGATAAGGTGTTTGTAGGTATTTTTGGCAAGAATTAGAAAAAAATGTTTCAGCAAAAATCATGTGTAAGCCCGGGCTTTTTTTATATAATGGTAGCTACGCGCCTGAGAACCGTCTCATTACCACAAGACGTCGTTGGTGTCAAGATTGGAATCGCTGGACCAATCGCAGTTAGGGACCGTTCATAATTTATTTGTGTGTGTGTGTGTGTGTAAGAGAGAGAGAGATATGATGATTTTAAGGGGGGTCATCCATTTTGCTCTTGGGAGGTAGGGGGTCATCAATTTTGCACACATGTTGGGGGTTCCAGCAATTTTGCACATAGAAATATTTTTAAATTATGCTTTAAAAATATGGGAAGGGGGAAGGGGGGTCATTGATTTTATACATGACATGCAGGGGGGTCACTTACTTTGTACATAAATTTTAGGGGGGGTCGTTCCACATTGTACATGCTTCTCCATAAAAATTCCCCCACCCCACCCCCCAGCCATAAATTATGAACGGTCCCATAGGCAGACGGTTTGTTTTTTTCGGAGGTTTAGTTTGCACCTTCCTGACAGGTGCAACTGGAATGAGTGTTTACATGCATTAACTTTAGACAGGTGATCGTTTTAGGGTTCGCTCAGTGATGGTGTGGGGCGGGATCACTTTGAATGACACCTTTACATGTTATTCACGGACGTGAGTTTAGTTTTACGCCGCACTCAGCAATATTCCAGCTATATGGCGGCGGTCTGTAAATAATCGAGTCTGGACCAGACAATCCAGTGATCAACAGCATGAGCATCGATCTGCGCAAATGGTAACAGATGACATGTGTCAACCAAGCCAGCGAGCCTGACCACCCGATCCCGTTAGTCGCCTCATACGACAAGCATGGGGTACTGAAGATTCATTCTAACCCGGACCTTCACGGGTATTAACGGACGTGCCGTTTGGTGGTACTACCGTGACAACATCCTTGACACACACGTGGACGACGTTTTGTGTTTC